ACACTCACACACACACTCACACACACACACACACTCACACACACACACACACACACTAGTACTGTACCTAGTAAGATGCCTTGTACCTAAGGCAAGTATAAGTATAATTTACATTTTTAAGAATTGAATGAGAATTTTAATTGTCTTTTTTATTTGTTTTTTAATTTTAAAATGTAAAAAAAAATGTTTAATACATTTTAGCTATTTATAATTATCATAGATATTATATAAATTTTTATTCTAGCTATTTTTATTTATTTATTTGAGTGGAAATAATGTTTGCCAATAGGCAATGTAATTTTGGCTGTGGCGCGTTCCTCACTTTCACCGGCAGGAGGCGCCAGAGACCTGACCCTCGAAGCGGCCGGAACTGACGTTTTACGCCAACATGTTGTGATGCGTCGGCACGAATATCAGAAACGGAGCAAGACCACAGCGCTATAAGATATATATGAGAACCACTTCCGCTTATGATGGCTAATGACACGATTAGCTGTAAGTGTTTTAAAGCTCAATAATAATAACAATAATAAAAGCTAAAAAAAAATATTTACACGTTATAACATACGTGACTAACTGAGATAAGGTCAAAAATAAGGCAAAAAAATTAAATGAGGGTTAAATGAAGTCCGTTTGAAATCGTTTTTCCGTTAACCGCAAAGCATTGTGGGCCGCAGTGCGCCCCCTTCTGGCGGTAACGGTCATGCTCGCGCGAGGAAATGCCGTTTGGCTCTGAGGCGTTTAGAATAAACAAGAGACTAAAGATGGCGACGGTGGAGGATTCATGGGACAAATTCGGATCCAGAACTTCTCTTTGGATTACAGAGTCCAGCGGTCCAGTCGCGCAGTGAGAGCCGAGACCCGGTTCTGCTTCCGCGGCTCCGTTACAGGCCTTTCTTCTCTCTCGCAGCAGCGGATTTTGGACTCAGATCGTCAGAACCGACGCCGGACCCCGCTGATATGATCCCGGACTGAATACGAACCCGAGTCCGTGTCGAGCTGTGGTCTGGTTCTGGTGGATGGAGGCCGCTGGAGGGAGTCTGTCCGCCCCGGTGTCGCAGTGATTTGGGTCGGAACCGGATCGTGATGTATTTTCTGAGCGGCTGGCCGCGGAGGCTCCTCTGCCCGCTCCGGAGCAGCGAGCGGCCCTTCCTGATCGAGCCCAGCGCGCAACGCTTCTACCTGGCGGTGCTGTCCGAGACCCAGATCAGCATCTGGTCCAGCCGGGTAAGAACACCTCACACTCACCCGTAAACAGTCACTAGATGTTGTTTAAATGCTGGACGGCGTGGGTGGTTTGTGGGTTTGAATCTCAAGGCCATTGTGTCTTTAAAGGTGAGCTGATGTGGCTTAGTGGTTAGAGATGAAGGTATAAGGGACAGGAAGGATAGATGCTGTGGTGTAGTGGTAAAGGGTCAGGTTTGGTGACCCAAAGGTTCAAACATCAGAATTCTTCATAGGAACCAGGTTTAGCTGGGTAAGTGACTTTATTAAAGCAGTGGCTTAAGGGTTTAAATGCAATCCTGTTAATCCTACTCTGTTTAGTAGCATTATCTAGTCGTTAAAGTCTATCTCAACTCTCAGCATCTAGTTAAACACTTGCTCGGAGTGTGTGGTTTAGTGGTTAAAAATGATAACCCAGTGGTTGTAGGTTCGAATCCCAAAACACAAACTGGTTACGCAAAGAGTGTGGGTTTTATTCCATGATGCATTCATTCCAGTCACCATTGAAGAATATGTCGACCCAGTATCAGCATTACGGGTCTAATGTGGGGTGCTGTGGTTTAGCGGTCAGTTCTGTGGTGGTACTGATCGGTTCGAACCTCGTGAGAATGTTATTTAGTTTGGATTAAAGTATGCAGGCAAACAGCCTCGAGATCTGAGCTTTGAGTTCATGTTTGAATAATGAATGATGAGGCGAAGTGGATCAGGTCTGATGAGCTCAAGCGTTGAATCGGAGAAGGTTTATTAATGAGCAGCATTTGTCAAGTCTATCTAACCCAGTGTTTCTCAACCTTTCTTTAGTCGCGGCACCCTTTGGAAATTTTAAGAAACTTGTGGCACCCTGCAAAATTAATTTTGTCACACTATTTGAATTTCTAATTTCGATGTGATCATTTGAAAAGTATAGATATTCGGTACAACAGGGTCTTACAGATGTCTTACAGATATTTTTAATATTATTAAATTTTGTCCATCAATGGTGGCAATCGGTAGGCTAATTTCTAATGAAGAGACCAAAATTATATGACAGATTTTAATGTAGGCTTTTATACATATCTAAACATTATTTAATTACCATTATAACTAGCTATCGCTCAAATTTTTGCTCACTCAGTGTTTTTTTATTTTACAGCTTGGTGATTTTGGTGCAGTAGCACGAGATAGCTTGATTTCAAACTTTGAATTGAATAAAAAATGACAAGTAAGCAGTCAGTAATAAAATAAGAACAAATAAAGAAATGAATAATGATGGAGCAGATAAAAAATAACGACAGGCCTTCGAATTAAATAAATAGCTTTTTAGTTTTTCAGGCAGGTCTAACAGTAGGGTTAAGATATTTAACTTTTTTTTTTTTTTTT